CAGCAGAGGGCAGAGCTGCTCCCGAGGGCGCCAGCCTGTGTGGCTGCCGGGGCTCGTCCTCCCGGGGGCAGGGCTCTGCCTTCGGCCCTACTCAATTTCAGGAGGTTCTTATTGGCCCATTCCTCCAGCCTGTCTGCGTACCCCTTAGTGGCAGCTTTGTACTCGAGCCTATCAAGTGGTACATCCAATTTAGTGTCATCTGAAAATTATATAAGAGTGCAAGCTGTCACCTCCTCCAGGTCATGGACAGGTCTCAGCTCAGCCCCCTGTGGACTCCACTTGTTACTGGCCTCCAGGTAGACCTATTAACCATTAACTTCTAAGCCCTACCATCTAACCTGTTTTTTACCAATCTGGTTGCCTGCCCATCCAGACCATCATGTCCTAGCATGGATGGAAAAACGCTGTGGGAGACACCATTGGAGACCTTGCTAGAGTTGAGGCAATGACATCAACTGCTCTCCCCTTATTCATATGTCTAGGCATTTTATAAAAGAAGGCAGTCAGGCTGGTCAGATGTGAATTACCTTTGGTAAATCATGGTACCTTTGATATCCATGCTGACTGTTCCAAATCCCCTTCCTCTCTTTCATGCACACAGAATCAACTTCTAAGTGGACTCTCTCCAAGATTTTCCCAAGAACTAAAGTGAGATTGACTGACCTACAGTTCCCTGGATTGTCCTTTCTGTGTTTTTCTTGAAGATGGGTGCTAGATTTACCTTTTTCCAGTCATCAGACTTCCCAATTTCCATGATCTTTCAAAGAAGATAGATCAAAGCCTATCTTTCAGCATCCTGGGATGCAGACCATCTGGTCCCATGGACTTGTTTAGCTAACATTTGTCCAACACTGCTTAAGCTGTTTCAACTGCAGGCTGCTTCTGAAAGCAGGCGTGCTCTCCCTCCTGCTCATAGCTACATATTCCCACATCCTTCTTTATACCACTGTTTGTGATCCAGTATTGAGTCAGGTCGTTTAATTGATCCAAGATAAAACCAAATGCAGTAACATTTTTTGAAATTTATTTTTATATCAGATCAGCAAGCTTATCTGTTCAATTAAGGGGCCACAAGACCATAAGATTTAATGCTATGGAAGTCACAAGAATCCACAGGAAGGAATAGGGGGAGAGTTGGATGCAAACTATCTTCTATCAGCTTAAGATGAACATTGAATCTTCTCTTGAGTATTTTCCTGAATCCAAACCACAAACAGCTCTGTAGCTTCCAGCAATTTTTAGATTCTGATACATTTAGCACATTGTATTTGGAGACTGAACATCTCCTGTAGAACAAGAAGTCATGAATAAATGTTGACTATTTTGATTTTCTACTTTATTCCTCTAATACCTGTTGGACATAACACAAGTTCAGCTTGAAAGCACTCTGAACTTCACAGTACTAAACTAGCAGAAACTAGGAGTTTAGTAATTGCTTATTTATGCTGTAATCTAATAAAAACCTCATCTAGTATGAGATGCCATATAACTCACAGAAAAGCATTATAACACATATAACACAGGCAAACATTAAAACATATATTAAATATATAATAAGAAAACATAAAACCCTTAAAAAGAAACTGTGTTCCTCCTTCTCACATCCCATAATGATTCAAGTCATGGATTTATAGAATGATAAGCCTCACTGGGGAAAAAAAAAATCTATCCTCTGCCTCATATATACTGTTCAAACACACAGATTTTGCAGATCATATCTACAATCAAAAAATGCAGGAGATGTGATTTTGAGAGCTGGGAGAATTGCAGATGACAAGGAACATGCTCAGCTGTTCATGAACAGCTTCCTTCATTTCTAAAACAATGGAAGCAACCTCAAGCCTCTCCCAATTATTGACAGAGCTGACATTAAACTTGAAGGGCCCCAAGCAGAGGGGAAGACATTATAGCTCAACACTAACATCTTAAGTACTGTCCTGGTTCCGGCTGGGATAGAGTTAATTTTCTTCCTAGTAGCTGGTACAGTGCTGTGTTTTGGATTTAGCTTGGGAATAATGTTGATAACACACTGATGTTTTAGTTGTTGCTAAGCAGTGCTTACACTAAGTGAAGGACTTTTCAGCTTCCCATGCTTTGCCAGCGAGGAGGTGCACAAGAAGCTGGGAGGGAGCATAAACAGGACAGTTGACCCAAACTGGCCAAAAGGACATTCCATACCATCTGATGTCATGCTCAGTATATAAGCTGGACAGAGTTGGGCAGCGGGCAGTGATTGCTGCTCAGTGGGCATCGATTGGCAGGTGGTGAGTGGTTGCATCACCTCCTGTTTTTTTTTTTTTCCTTCCTGAGTTTTGTCCCCTCTCTCTCTCTCGTTGTTTTGCTTTCCACTACAATTTGTTGTTGTTGTTGTTGTTATTATTATTTTATTATTTCAAGTATTAAACTGTCTTTATCTCAACCCACGAGTTTTCTTACTTTTGCTCTTCCTTTCCCCCATCCCATGGGGGGGCGGGGGGAGAGGGTGAACGAGCAGCTGTGTGGTACTTAGTTTCTGACTGAGGATAAACCACAACAAGTACCATGCAGAAAGACCTTACTTCCATTACAGCTCAACATATCTCACGTTTACTTGAGATAAGAACATATGTGTCGGCATTTTATTGCAGAATGATTAAAATGCTGCAAATTCAAACACTAGTTTGTCTCCCTGTAACTTAATTTGAGAACTCTCAGTAGGG